AACCTTTCCCTTCACCTTAGCTGACACTCTTCTGTCACAGATCACTCCTGACACTTTGCTCCAGCTGTTCCATCCTGCCTGTACTCTATTCTTCACCTCTCTTCCACAGTCTCCGCTGCTCTGAACAGTTGATCCTAAGTACCTAAACTCCTGCACCTTCACCACCTCTGCTCCTTGTAGCCTCACTATTTCACTGTTCTGCCTTTCGTTTACACACATGTACTCTGTCTTGCTGCGACTGACCTTCATTCCTCTTCTTTCTAGTGCAAACCTCCACCTCTCTAGGTTCTCTTCTAGCTGCTGCCTACTCTCACTACAGATCACAATGTCATCTGCAAACATCATAGTCCATGGGGACTCCTGTCTGACCTCATCTGTCAATCTGTCCATCACCACAGCAAACAAGAAGGGGCTCAGGGCCGATCCTTGATGTAGTCCCACCTCCACTTTGAAGTCTTCTGTCCTCCCAACAGCGCACCTCACTACTGTTGTACTATTCTCATACATGTCCTGCACCAAACTAACATACTTCTCTGCCACTCCTGACTTCCTCATACAAAACCACAATTCCTCCCTTGGCACTTTGTCATATGCCTTTTCTAGATCTACAAATACACAATGCAGCTCCTTCTGACCTTCCCTGTACTTCTCCATCAACATCCTCAAGGCAAATATTGCATCTGTGGTACTCTTCCTAGGCATGAAACCATACTGTTGTTCACAAATCTCCACTTCCTGCCTCAACCTAGCTTCAACTACTCGTTCCCAAATCTTCATTGTATGGCTCATCAACTTTATCCCTCTGTAGTTGTTACAACTCTGTGCATCACCCTTCTTATGAATTGGCACCAGAACACTTTTTCTCCACTCATCAGGCATCTTGCCAGTCTCTAAAATTCTGTTAAACAAACCAGTCAGGAAATTTACTGCCACTTCTCCTAAACACTTCCATACTTCCACTGGTATGTCATCAGGACCAACTGACTTTCCACTCTTCATCCTCTTCAGGGCTTTTCTAACTTCATCCTTTCTAACCTGATCTACCTTCTTCCTACTAGTCTCTGGCTCCTCGTTTCTACTTTCCCTTTCATTTTCCTCATTTAACAACTCCTCAAAGTATTCCTTCCATCTTCTCAGCACACTTTCCTCACTTGTGATCACATTCCCCTCTCTGTCCTTAATCAACCTCACCTGCTGCACATCCTTCCCAGCTTGATTTCTCTGTCTCGCCAATCTATACAACTCCTTTTCTCCTTCCTTTGTTTCCAAACTCTCATACAACTCCTCATATGCCTTTTGTTTGGCCTTGGCCACTTCCCTCTTCACCTCCCTTGTCCTCTCTTTGTACTCCAGTCTGTTCTCTTCTGTTCTGTCACTGTCCCATCTCTTCTTCGCTAATCTCTTTCTCTGCACACTCTCCTGGATCTCCTCATTCCACCACCAGGTCTCTTTGTCCTCCTTTCTCTGCCCAGAGGACATACCTAGCACCTTCCTACCTGTCTCCCTCATCACTGCAGCTGTAGTCTCCCAATCATCTGGGAATATCTCAACACTACCCAGAACTGCCCTTACTTCCTTCCTGAAGTCTTCACAACATGTCTCTTTCCTTAGTTTCCACCACTTGATCTTCTGCTCTGTCTTCACTCTCTTCCTTTTTGTCACCTCCATCGTCATTTTACACACTACCATCCGATGTTGTTTGGCTACACTCTCACCTGCCACCACCTTACAGTCTCTAATCTCCCTCAGATTACATCTTCTACATAGAATATAATCTATCTGTGTGGACCTGCCTCCACTCTTGTAAGTCACCCTATGTTCCTCTTTCTTTTGGAAATATGTGTTTACCACAGCCATTTCCATTCTCTTTGCAAAATCTACCACTGCCTGTCCTTCTACGTTTCTCTCCCTAACACCAAACCTGCCTATCACTTCCTCATCTCCTCTGTTCCCTTCCCCTACATGACCATTTAGGTCTGCTCCAATCACCACTCTCTCTCTCCTGGGGATACTCTCTACCATCCAATCTAGCTCCTTCCAGAACTTCTCCTTTTCTTCCAACTCACAGCCCACCTGTGGGGCATAACCACTAACAACATTAATCATCTCTCCTTCTACTTCTACCTTCACACACATCAACCTGTCTGACTCTCTTTTCACCTCTACCACATTTCTTACATATTCTTCCTTTAGGATCACCCCTACTCCATTTCTCTTCCCATCTGAACCATGATAAAACAGTTTGTAGCCTCCTCCAATGTTTCTAGCCTTACTGCCCTTCCACCTGGTCTCCTGCACACACAAAATATCTACTCTTCTTCTCTCCATCATCATTCTCTGCTTTTCCCTGTCATTGTACCTACATTCAAAGTTCTTCAGACTAACACTTCTATTCTTCATCTTCTATTCCCAATAGTTATTAACTCTACATTTTTTAATGTTAACCAACGTAGGTACTACCACAGTCCTTTTAAGGACTCTAACTCCCATAATTCCACTGCTTCCGGTAAATCCACATACGTCACGATCAGTGACCTTCGCAACCTTTAAATTGGGGGTTCAGCAACCAATTTCCGTTCCTTCTACCTTGCAGTTCTTCCACTGCGCAGTCGCGTATGTGAACACGCCTCAAGGGCTCAGTCGCCTGCTTGGTAGCTAAGAGGCAACATCTCTCTCTCTTTCTCTCTCGTACACGACCACTCGTGTATACAAGCACAAGTACACACACACACACACACTTATGTCTTGTTTTGTTATGATCATTGTTTATGAGTTCAATCACCGGCATTAACTTGACAGTGTTGTATTAATACATTTGATTATTTTTGTAAACTGTGTTTGTCTGTGTTGTTACTTTATTCATTGAAGCCACCCAATTTGCCAAGAACTCATAATCCTTCAGATATTTAATTGTTATTGAATACTATTGATTTTAGTATATTTGTAATACTCCAAGTAATACATTATTGCTATATTAGTAGGTTAAAATAATAATTAAAGATAACTTTAACGAGACTGGTTGTGTTATTAATTTGAGACTGGTTAATAACACTGAGTGCTCCTAAGCAGCACTCGACCCATTGCACCTACATTATCGTCTTCCTAAAGATGGATGTTCAGGAGTATTCATTATCTAAGCTGACCAGGGTTCTCTACCTGCATGTGTTTGTGTGTTTGTTCAGGGGTTAGTGTTACACAGACCGGACTGCGGGGGTCAGCTGGTGTGTGTACGGGTGGAGGTGGGGGTTCAGGGGTTCTTGTTTCGGCTCTGCTGTATGCTCTCTGCAAAATTCATAAGCTCTGTAGGGATCAGTATGCCATGCAGCCATCGGACAGCCTTACCGTTCCAAAAAATGTCTTCTAGTTAATGGGAGATTCCTTAACGTGAGGCCCCTTTTTATTAACCGTTAAATCATTTTATAGTTTGTCTTATAGACAGACAGACAGTATTGACATGCAGGAACTACATAGAATGATTTTTAGGTTTTGTTCTTTGTGCTTATCCCACTGCTAGGATAATCCTCATTTCCTGGAGTTTTGAAATTTAACACCTTTTTTTTTTCTAGATGCTGTTTTATTCTATTTTTTTTAATCAGATCTCACTAAGTTAGAGGCCAATCATAGTCACCCTATTGCTATAATTGAGAAAAAAATGAAAAGGATCTAAGTGTTAATATTGTAATAAATTATAAAAAAGAACCAACATAAAGACAAGGAAACATAACATTTATACAAAACAGAATCGATCAAAATAGAAAATTATTATTCAGTACACATAAAAATAGAAACTGGGTAATGTATAAATATGTCATTTATCACACTGACAGCCACTAGAGGGCACTTTAGCGGGTGTCAAAATAGCAAAGAACGGGATAAGGGTGAAGATGACATCTTAAAAGCTACTGCTTTAGATGGTTTAGCCAAAAATATGTGCCCCAAAACGACTAAAATTGTCATAAAATGCATATTTACATAAAAAAATTTTGGAGAAAAAAAAATCATCATCGAAAAATAATCAATTTACAGCACTTGGAAACATTGAATGGGTACCGTATTTTCCGGATAATAAATCACTCCGGAGTGTAAGTTGCACCAAAGAATAAAAAAGTAGTAGAGTAGCAGATACTGGTACAGGAGCCTAGAGTGCCCTCTAGCGGCTGTCAGTGTGTAAATAACAAACAAGAGATATTTTATATTTTAGTATTTAAGTCACACCTGAGTATAAATTGCAAACCCAGCCAAAGGATGAAAAAAGTGCGACTTATATTTCAGAAAATACGTTACATGACTTTTTTAAAAGAACACTGAACCAATCTGACAAACTAATGAAGTGTAACTGTAGACAATTACAGTTAGCATGGTGAATAGCAAATCATAAAATCAGAAAGGGCATGATTGGTAACAGAAAAAAAAATTATTAGTCTGCTGGTACACATTGTTAACAGATGCACGATTTGATGTAACCCAAGAGGTTAACGATAAAACATTGTTGCTTTGTCATTGTAACACTTTTTCTATTGTCTTGTGTCGTAAATTATGTGTCAAGAACTTTTTGTCTTATAAGGTATATATAATAAGAAAAGAAAATTTTGTGATATTGTGTTATGTGGCCACATCTTAAAATTGTTGGTGCGCTCCCATTATAGAAGTATTCCCCAACCTTCTCTGCTTTGGTTCATAACACAATTTTTCAACCCCTCTACCCAAAAAAACACACACAAAAGTCATAGCCTTGGGTGGCTAACCAAATGGTTGTTTCTTAGATTTCGATCTCCTTTGATGGGTGCAACGCGAAACATCTCATTTCATATTTGGACAATACACTTTTTTATATCATAATGTGAAATTTCTTCTAGTAATTTTACAATATTTAATATTGCAAAAAGAGTGCCTGAAAATATGGATGTCACTAGGTAACAAAGTCGTTTTTTTACACCG